TAAGAAAAGGGGGCCGCGTCGAGGGGGGGGGGGGTGGTAGACGGTATATGCTTCTTTGGATAGAAGATAGGATAGCTGTCGCTACAACGAGCGTCAGCTGATAGATGTAACTAGTTGTCGTCACATGTAACTGTCGTCAGACGCGTGCGTCCACGGGCGGAAACAGAGTGCAAACACCACACTTGATACTACCTGCTGTGCTGGTGCGAGAGCTGCGGTAACAGAAGGCCCGTAGACTCCAAACTTCACCTACCGGTTACGCCCCCCCGTCCACATCCCGCCTTCGTGGTCACACATTCCCCCCGCATACTAGGGCTGAACCCCCTGTTCCCTCATTCTTTTGTTCCGTGTTTCTCCAACTCCCAGCGAAACAGAAGGACACACGTCAGTTCTCGTCACCTAGCGTACCAATCGCCATGGCATCACTGCGAGCGTGTGCTCCATTGCGATACCTCGGGGCGTGACAGTTGTGTTAGGCACGGGTGCTGAGTGTGGGAAGGCCTCGTGGCGGCGTGGAATTCGAATCGTTTTTGTTGGCCCGGGCAATCGGGCCGCATCGCCAGGCGAAAAAGCCAAGCCGGATTTCACATCGCCACGATGCACTCGCCACATGCAGCACCCATGCCCAACACAGCTATCACGCCCAGAGACACCGCAATGGAGCACACGCTCGAAGTGGTGCGATGGCGATCGGCGTCCTAGGTTTCGAGAACTAATGTGGTGCCGTGCTCACATTGCTGGCAGTTGGACGCGGCGGTAAAAAAAAACATGCACGACAGAGCAATACATAGCCTCATCACCCCACAGAGAGTCCAGCGGCATCGAGTCCAGATGCTGTTGCCCGCTGTGCGTGTGTGCGTGTGTGTCGCCTGTTCTGCGTACGCTGTCTGCTGTGCGTGTGTTGTCTGCTGTGTGGTGTCTCCCGCAGCGTGTGTTCTCTGCTCAAATCCGCTGACAGTGTGCTCCGAAAAAAAAAAAAGTGTATCTGCTGACCCCGCTGACAGTGTGCTCCGAAAAAATAAAAAGTGCATCTGCTGACCCCTGTCGTCTAAAATCAAATCATGTGCTATAAGACTTAAACTAAGCAAACAAACTGTACAAACTCGTTTTTCTGGATGGAGCCTATGTTGCGCTGTCTCCTCAGGCAACATTAGAAATCTCGCTTCGCTCGAATAAGAGCATCGAAACCGACGGCGCTGCTGGGCAGCCACAGCCTCTGCAACTGTCCTGCTCCTCCTCCTGCAACTGTCTTGCTGCTGCTGCTGCTGCTGCTGACGCTGCATGTTCTTTGTTTTTCTTTTTGTTGCCCAGAACTTCATGTATGACATCAACTAGTGTAATAGTCTCTCTGTCTTTCTCTCTCTCTTTTTGTGTGTGTCCCTCTCTCTCCCTCTCTCCCTGTAAACGTTCTTATTCAAGGCGCAATGCGTGTTCCACCACACGGAATACCAAGGACGAACACGGTAGCTTGATGCCCCCCCAAAACGATGCTGTCGCTTTGCTGCTCACCCTTGAGAGTGTCGACGACCCCGGCGTTGAAGTCGTTCATGAAGGCGTTGACGTTACGCTCGGCAGGCAGCGGAGGCCTTCCCGGGGACGCCACCGTCGGCGGTGACGCAGACGCCGACATGGGTGACTGCTCGTCGAGGGGCGGGCTGCCCTTCGGCGCGACGTCCATCGGGCTGCTCGCAACCATGCTCAGCCTCCTGCAACAACGGGAAGATGGTCAGCACTGAAGTCGTGGTCCCGGCTTTGCCGTCCAAACAGGTGTCACACAATGCCGCAGCAGCCATTGAGGGCATCGCCGCTACACCGGGTTGGCACTTACAGAAGTACATCGAAGCAGTAGTTTTGACTACCGAGGTGCCGCCGTGCAACGAGGTTTTTGGAACCGCTATTCACGGTATCCCGCGAAACAGGCAAGGAACCGCTAAACCGAGACCACTACTGTATCACCACTGCAGTAGCAGAAGTGTTGTGGAACAACACTTGCTACGATCACAAGGAGAACCTGGGAGTTCTGAAACATTTCGGCTAAAAAATACAAAAGAGCAGACAAAAGGTGTGAGCGAACACAAAAATCACGCGGCACCTCTGCTGTTGCACCCCGACAAATAGCCGCATATACGGGCATGCCCTGAATAGCGACCATGTTAACTCCTGACGCGAGGGGTTGCTAAACCGGGCCTAACCCTGCTGCACCTACATGTTATGTTCAAAAGGTTTCCGATCAAACGGCACGTTCATCCCGTACATACTATGGAATCGATCTACCGAGGGATTGATCGTTCCATCGTTTCTGGTGCCAGCCGGCCGACCAAGTTTCGGTGCATGCATATGCTTGACGTACTGGTCGGGGTGACACAGCAGTGGAAGGTCATGTTGGGGCGGCGACAAGCCACCACACGATGCGGGGAGTACATCACAGAATGGACCGCCTGTACCAAGGAAAAATAAAAACACATCCAGAAAGACGACCCATTCGAGATATATTCACAGTCGAACGGGATGTGGTGGAGTCTTGTCAGTGAGAGGAGGAAAAACGGCTGGGTACTACAGTATGCATATTGTAGGACTTGTCGTTCCATTATGCATATTGTACTTGTACAACAAAACCTTGGGACAACTGCCCTCGCCAACTATCGGCGGGTGAAATAGCGTTAGCACTGCCCCTAACTTGGAATCATTGAAATTCCACCACCCCGTTTAGATGAGGATGAGGAACAAAAAAACAGATACGCCGATTGGTCAAGAGAATCTGCGATGCGCTACGTACGCGCGACTCGCGACAACGTCAGCGGTAAGTGGTGTTTGTGTTGTTGCGGTTCAGCGGAAACATCAACATCGCACACATGCACATACTACCAGGAAAGCATAAAGTTACAAACTTGGGAGCGACGCTGCGGTGTAGACTAGCAGGAATGCTACCATCAACCCTCGAAGGCCCCCCGTCCTGGATAGCTGATGTGCTTCAGAAAATGGTGTTTTCTTGTGAAAGGATAGTCTACCCCTGCAAGGAAGTAAAGCTGTTCGTCCCTACTTGTCCGTGTTGGTTCGTGCACACGGCGCTTTTGGGCGCGGTGCTCACCGCCATATATATCTGCTGTAAATTCTTGGCCAACGCATCAACTTGCGGCAGCAATCAAACCCGGCGCCTCCCACCCTAAGGATTGTTAGAAAACATACCTCGTCCCCATCCTGACGACGAGACTCAAAAGAAACCCTAACATGGCGGCATGTGCGTTAGTGCCCAAGGGCCTGTTGCACTTGAGGTCGACGAATCACAACATCGAAGCACAGCAGTTTCGTGCCACGGCAGAAAGCGACGTTGCATGTAAATCCGCATCGGGTACATTCATAAGAGCGGCTTCGCCCACTTACCCGTCGTGTCTGGCGCTGCAGCCGCCGTCTTTCCCTCCTCTAGCAGCAGAGCATCGTACCCCAGCGCCCGTCGCCTCCCACCCCATCCGCCTTCCTCTGACTACTTGTCCCGATCCCGCCGGTTTGCTGCCGGGCAAGACTTGCCACGAAAAGGCGGTAGCTCTCCGGTGTGGCACTGGGGCCACGAGAAACACAGACAGTACTGCCGCTGCTCTCAGAGCTAACGATCTGCACGCGAGAGTTCTCCGAGCTATCGCCATGTTGTCAGTAGTGGGTACGAGGTTTACGCGTGTGCAAGGGGAGGATGGCAGAGAGATGATACGGCGTGCGCCGACGGCCGAAGGCGGAATCAAAAGGGGGGCACAAAAGATTAGATATTTGTTAGAGTAGAGGGGAGGGTCGATGGTCTGTGGAGTGGCACCGCATTATCCATCATGGAACACATGGCACGCTCACACGCTCACGTAGTTTGGTCTCCCGGTGCCATGCTGCAAGTGGGTGCTGTGCCCTCTAGGCTCCACCAAGGATGCATCTTGTTGCTGGCAGCAGCTCTCGTGGCGACGGGGGTTTCAGGCGGCCAATGGTTCATGGAAGCTGACTACGTGGTGTTTGGCTACCTGGTGAGATCATCACTGATGTATTATATCTCGCGTTGCATGGAATTTTCCTTGGATGTTACTGAAGAGACACGTCATGGACCTGGTGCAGAAAGGTGTGCATAGAAAAGGATGACCCATGACAGCTGCGTACGCCCCCTCTCCGTGCAGTGCCGCCGAAGGTTTCTGTGCTTGACCCTCTGGGGTGCTTTGCTGGCTTTCCGAGCTCCTGTCTCTATTGTTTGCCATTCCCAGGCAGGAAAATACCCCGTGTTGCTATATTAATTTGTGTTGCTATAATGAGAGCACATGAAGGCGTGGATCACACGGAGATCGGTGCATCGCATGTGGCACACACACACATGAAGCCAACCATGGCGTATCCGCAGTAGCTTCGTTCTGATTGCCCTTCTCCAACCCCCAACTAACCTTCTCTACAGAACGGTCACCGCTCCCACAGCAACGGGCCGCTTCTTTTACGTGCTACAACGCTCTAGTGTAGATGCCCCCGGCATAGGCAACAAAAACGAAGGGTTTACCCTTGAAAAGCGTGATCCCGTGCCTTGTGTGTGTGGGGGAAAGCGGGACTCGATGTTCAACTACTGTACGTCGTGTGTCTGCTCTACTTTAGGTTCGTGCTTTCCAAGCCGACGCACGTCCCGGCTGGATAGCCGCCGGCGGCAAGCATCAACTGCATTAGTCTACACATATAAAGCGCAACTCTCTGATGGATTCATTTCCTCCGCTCAAAAAGTCGCCCCCGAGTAGCGTACTTCTGCGGGCGGCTTACAGCAGGGCGCGTGTACGCATCGTAGTATTGACAACTACAGGGGGAAAAATTTTCATTCCTCCGAAGAAATGCAACTCCCCTCTACTTTCAAAAAAGCAACTCCCCCCTCCGTCGAAGCCCCTAGCGACACTTGCACTATTTCATGTTGTCTCGCCTGCCGCAAGTAGAAACGGTTGGTTGGTTAGCCGGAATGCATGCCCAATCAAAATGACTACCTCTGGGATTTGCGCCGCAAACGCGAGGATGATGACCAGCTTCTTGGTTCACCCTCGTAGCCTGGACCGGAAGCGCTGTAGGGGTGCGAGGACGATTGTCTAACGGCTATCGCATGCGTTTGCATCAGTCCACTCCTCCCCCGTGCCTCTTGTCTTGACTGCTGCTGTCCTTTTTTGTTGCATTGCATCACAACTGGCTGCCGATCCCCCTCTCTACAGAGTACTACTGTAAATAATGTCCACTTCGCATCCCTCTGTGCATAGCGACCAAGTGCAGGGTTCGAATCCCGGCGCAAGCGAGTTTTTTCTCTCTCGCTTCTGTCCCTGGTTGTGGAAAGCGCTATATGCATACTTAGTTGTAGGTCGTGTGTGGTGCTGCTACCTTTGAGGGGATAGGAAGGGTGCAGAACTCTTCTCGCGGTCAACTCGCTTTAGTCGAATGCAAGCACGGCTGGGTGGAGGTGCTTACAGGGAGAGGAAGCCCTTCTGTGTGACCAAGGGTTGGATTGCTCTTACCGGGGAGAAACACTACCGTGAGCGCCTATTAATAGTGATGAGTAACAACAACAACAAAACATGTCTTCGTATGTGTCATGTGTCATGCAGGACCAGGAGGAATGGAGCGTGGATTCTGGGTACACCGTGGGACAGTTCTGGGGTCTAGTGACGCAGACGCTGTGCCTGCCCGCGGCGGCCGTGGCCCTCATGACCTTCACTCTCCACTCCTACAAGTCTCCGGCATGGCCGTCATGGGTGCGATCATGTTCTTGTGCTCGTCTAGCAGGGACATCGTACATGGCATCCTTAAGGACAGGTAGTCTCGGTGGCGGCTGTATGTATCCTCGAGCAGGTGGCACGGTATTTCACCCCCGCCCTCCCACCTCTCCATGGGACCCGCCGAATATCTCACGGCGCTTCGCGCTTTGTGATGTGAGAGCCTGGTCCGGTGAGAACCCGGCGTGCTCCGTCCCGGCTTTGTAGGGGTGCGAGGTCAATGGTCTAACCGCTAAGGCATGCAAAACATACGAGTACGCCTCCCTCCCCCGACAAGAGAAATGGCGCTTGCAATGTAGTCGTAGAGCAATCCGTCTTTGTTGAGTACACCCCACCCTATCCCACCGATGGGACGAACCTGTTATTTTTAGGTTTTCTACCGTATGTATGTAGCTTTGTGCGGTGGCGGGTTGTCCTGGGGCCACCCGTTTAATGTTTTATCCCCTAGTTCACACAACAAGCGCATGGTTTACTTGCCCTCTGTTTGTATGTATTGCTGCTGCTGTGTGTGGTTTCCCTTTGTCGCATCAACCGCGCTTCTTCAAAACTGGTTAGCAGTCACAAAGGGGCGTGAGTCTCAGCCGAATATGCCTTTTGTATGTTTGCACTTGACGTGTGCGCGCGCGCTGCCTGCGCTCGCCCCCCCCCCCCCCCCCCC